ACACCCCCACCCATACCAACACACCCACACCCACCCACACAGCCCACACCCACCCACACTCACCCACACAGCCCACACCCACACCCTTCATTGTTTCTTTTATCATTTTATAGTGATTACTACAGTTATACACGGGCAATTCTTATGGTTTTCGCTTTTTATATTTGCTTTTATATTTTATATCAACATGTAAACAGTGAAAAAAGAACACCAAATGATGATAAATCAATTGACATTAACTTTTTATATTCTATGGTGCTGAATATGTGTTCATTATGGGGAGGAGCAATATGTTTCGGAAAACCATTTCTTCCAGTAAGTGTTTATACTTGCGGTATTTTTTTATTAGCAGCTATATGTAAAAAACATCATGAATTGGCAGAATGGATGGCAAAACTAATTGTGATTGTGTCGGTGTTAAGTCTCTTTCTGGAATATTTTGTCTTCGCTTTCCAGTATTGGATTAAGACGCACAAAAACAAAGATATTCGTCTTGTTATTAAAGTGTTCTTAATCAGTTTCGTCATTTTTTATTTTTTACTTTAAGTATGGTTATTTTTTTCATTAGTCTTTCTAATTTCAATAAACGTTTAGTTCATTAACTTAAAACATTTTTTATATACATATTTATATTCGAATATCATTGACTGTTGAGTCTTAGATTGATTCTCCAGTCGAATATTGATTTCAAAAGAGGACGCTAATAGACAGTATTGATTTAATTTTTATATAAGTTCTGTCTATACAATATCATTTGTACAAAATACCTAGTTCAGCTTCATCTATTGTTCTGTAAGAAATCTATGAACACATTATAATTCAAAACGAATAAAGACAACACTTTTTTGTTGTCACTGAAGTTACTTTCATTGACGAGTGTTAATAAACATGACGTTTTTCACGGATTGTTTTTCGATTATTCATGAATTATGATAGAATACTTTTCGCAAAATGTTATGTGTGTTTATATAGATACAAAAAAGTGTCTTAATTTATATTAATATATTGAAAAATGAATAACCAAAGATAATTCCAATTAAAGAATAATAAACGTTGCAAATTCTGTAGATTAAAAAAGAGAAAAGAAATTCATGATTATATTTTACTGTTTAGGAAACAATTAAATAGAGAACGTTGGGTGTGGATGTGGGTGTGAGTCTTACATCAATCCATACACACCCACACCCACACCCAATCTACAGGGAAAAGCTGATTTTATTGGCGCGTCTTTAGTCTTCATAATAAGCAAAAATATGTGCAATCAATATTCGATGCTGAGAAAAGTGGTCATACAGAATTTAACTTTTTTTGAAAACAAAAAGTACACAACTAAAATAAGCTTTACTCTTTAAATCATATAGCCTTTCATGCTGCATCTCGTGGTATAATTTGATTTTTTTTAAATGTATTTAGAGACAAAATTATGAAGCACAAAGTGCGGTCATTCATTATGGGGCACCCGTAGGTGTTAGGTTTCGAAAATTTTTGCTTCGTGCTTTATAAAACGACGTGGTATTAGTAACTGGAACTTTGATGTTACTATTCCCAAACGGCTTCTGTTTTATTATTTATTCGTTTAATTCGACAATAAAAGAAGTGAAAGATATTTTAGGAGCTCGTTTTTTCATTTATGTTCTCGGCGAACACAGCTAAGAAGCGACACGATGGGTCTAAATCAATCTGTAGAAAACATACTAGTGGTCAGTTTTATCTTCAGTTATGTATCACACGGCGTGGTTGTGGGATGGGAGTGTGTGGGTATGGGTTTTCGTTTAGGTCTGCACGTCAGCTTCACCAACAACCACCCAAATCCACACTAACACCCACACCCACACCCTTTCCAAGATTTTACAATTTCCCTTTATAAATCATCTCTTGTGTGGACTTTCTGAAAGTCAATATTTCTGTTGATGCTGTCCCAGATCGAGTAATCCAATGGATTCAAATCTGGTGAGTTCGAGGGCCACCGACCTTTTGGGATAAATGATGTTAAATTCTTTTTGCACGAATCTTGTGTTTTTCGATCAGTATGAGCAGTTGCACCATCTTGCACTAGACACCAATTTGAATGCATAAATAATCGATCGCCTTCTTCCTTGTAAAATGGTAATAACTTTACTCGATAACATTCACCATTTAAACGTTCATCTTTTGCAAAAAAATAAGGAACAGTGAGTCCATTCCATGTAGCATCTATTGCAACCATTAATGAAACGGGAAATTTTTCTTTTTGAAAAATACCATTGTTTTTGTCAGCATCATTTTTGGAATTTCGATAACCATTTCATGTAAAAATATTTTCATCTGTAAACATCATCTTTTGTACGTCTTCACGTTTGAATTTTTTTCTAATCCAAGCAAAACAACGTTTACGAAGTGTTTGGTGATGATCTTGGAGCTTTTGTACACATATTCTACGGTAACATTTTTTACCCAAATCTTTATTGAGAACTCTTTTAATTGTTGATGGATTGCTGTTGAAATCTTTCGACATTGTTCGTAAACTTTTTCTTGGGTTTTTTGATTGAAGTCTTTTTTAATCAACTTGATTAACCGTTTGGTTCGTCCGCTTCTTTTTCTTCCTGTTGATTTTCCTGCATTAAATAAATCAGTTCGATTATATTGGCATATCCATCGGTGAATGGTAGAACGATGAACCTTATTTGCTAATAAAACTGCAATTTTCGGTGCTTTTTTTTGTTGTAATGAGTAATAGCAACTTCAGGTGGATCTTTACTTTTTGCCATTATCAAAAGATTAGAAGGTAACTTTTTTTTCATTCTTTTG